ATATTTCTAATGATTTTTTTTCGTTTTCTTTCATATTCCATCTTTCAATAAATAATAATGTTTTTTTTCGTTCAATTATCATGCATATAATTGATAATATAATACATAAAACTGTTATTGAACTAAGTATTATATGTCCATAAAGAACAATTTTATTAATTGATAAATGAATAAGAATAAGAAATAATCGTGTAAGAAATTCTAAAAGAAATCCTATTGCCCAAATACTTGTTATCATATAACATGAAATACGAAATGATGAACAATTATTATATATCCATTCATATACTTGAGCTATTTCTTGTTTATTTGATAATTTTTCTAATAAAATTTCTTCATGAAGTTGTGTATATTGATTATTAATTTGTTCTTGTTCATCATTAAATATATTTTCAGATAATCCAATTTCTTTTCGATTTGTTGGAACTAAATCTTGATACATATAATAAGCAAGTGGACGTAAATGATAACGATGATGATAACAATGAAATGGTATTAATGTTATAGTAAATATAATTGAAAGTATACAAGTAACAAGAGATTTTTCTAATAGAAATATAATTGGATTATGTGTTATAATAGCAACAAAAGCTGAAATAACAAAAGTAACAAAAACAAGAAAACCAAGAGCATCAAATGTACAAAACCATATTGCTTTAAAAATAACCATAAATAATGGTGGAGTACCAGCAGCTAATAATGCATAAACAGGTTTAATATATTTTTGTAAAATAAAATAAATAATAAGTGGAAATATAATATCAAAAAGAATAGTTATAAGAAAATGTGGAATATGATGTTTAAATGTATTCCAAATAGAAAATTTAATTTTTGAAGATATCTGTAATTGTTGTTGATTAGATGATGAAGAAGAAGAAGATAATTCATTAGTTGATTTCATTGAAAATTTAATTTCGATATCGTAATCTATACAAAAAATAAAAGATTGAAAAACAAATCGAAAAAGATAAAAACAACGAAACGAAAGGATTTTTAAGCTTATATTTATTTGTCTTCGAAGTTGATATGATTTATAATATGAATATATTATGTTATTCCGTTTTATTGAATTAGATTTCAACCAAAATAGTGCAGAATTTTTTTTGCTAATGTATTCCCTGTGGTAGAATAATCAATCTTTGATATTCGAAAAAAAAAAAAATAATATATTGATTTATTTATTCATAAAAATACTTTCAAACATCATTTTCTGATATTGACGCAGACGAAGCCAATTCGTGCATATATTAGAATACAAATAATAAAAATATAAAAGTATTCTATCTATTTAAAAATAACAAGTATGTGCTGTGTTCTCTTATTGGAAATAAAAGTTGGAATTTTCTTTTTGAGACAAAAAAAAACAAATTATTTCGTCATTTTACACCTAATTAAAAACAAAATCGATAACGGTTGATTTTTATCTAAAATATAATCTTACCTATGATAGATATTCATTCTGTATAATTTTCTTCCTACTGACACATTTAAAAACAAAATAAATAATTATTTTATTACTCAAGTGATGATGAATGTAGATAAATACCCAATAAAAGATATTCAAGAAATAGATAATCATGACCATGAATAATGAGTCATAAGGAAATTTACCTTGTGATAATATGTTTTGGTCTATTGGTTTTGTTTTGAAAAAAAAACCACATACATTCCGATGTATACGATAAAAAGGATAATTTACATATATTTATAAAGTATCTATATTTATATCCTCTCTTGACTTTAACTCCGTTTTATACTATAATTAATAATTAATGACTCAAACAACTATAAAAAACTAATTAGAACATGTCAAATTATTCTAAACAAAAAATTTTTACAAAAGATTTTTTCAAAAGTTGAATAATTTTCTCATATAAAAATTCAAATCTTATTATCAATTATCTTTCACAAAATGGCACAAGAGAAAAACAAAACTATTACCTAATAGAATAAAAGTCTTGATACCTATTCATATATAAAAAAAAAATGATCTACAATACTCACAAATAATGTTTGCCGTTTTCGATGACTATTTACATAAAGAAATCAAAAAAAAAAAAAAAGAAAAGTCATACATTTTGTACAGTTCTTTTTCTTCTTCTTTCTTCTTGCTGATTTTTACATTTCTGTCGATCATTTGAATGTTATATTGACAAGAATACTATGATATATATATATATTATACTAGTTGCACACATGCGATTATTGTCTGAAAGAATGACGATAAATATTGTCATAATAAATGATGGTTGGTTAACTTCATTTTCTTTTTCTTATGCATACTATTTTTCTTGCATAATAAATACCTCGTGTACTCTCTCACACAAATGTTTTTTGTTGTTGTTCTTTTCTTTTCTTTTTTTTTTCATCAAAAAAAAAAAAAAGTATAAAACAAAGTACGTGTTAAATATATTAAAAAAGTATGATGGATGATGAAATAAATTTGATTTTTATTTAAAATACTATTATCGTTAAATCAATACGATGTACAATATAGTCTAACTAATCGAATAAAGTTTCGTTTGAAAAGTAAAAGATATTGACTCAGATTAATTTGACATTTGTATAGCTTTGTAAATACACTTTTTGTTTTGTTTGATTTATTGATGATTATTTAGTCAAGGATATCGCTTTCGTTATTATTCAATTGATGATAGTGTGTGGATTCTGTATAAGGAAAAAAAAATTGCCTGTATGATCTTTACAGGCATCATGAGAGTAAAGAATCACTTAAAGATGCCTCCTCTTTTGATTGCACTATTCGAAAGTGCAATCTCTCGATTTTTAATTAAAACTTGAGATATTGATGTTTTTTTCAAAAAGTTTAAAAACACCTCTAAGACTTCGTCTCTAGTATCTTCAGAAAAAATTTCAGCTCAATCGAACAAAGACTGGAATCATAAAGCAGGTCCGATGGTTGTTGAAGATGTCTTCAAAAATCTGCTTTTAAAATTTTTCTCGCAAATACGAATCCTATTATTTTCGATAGTCTAGCTGCGGCAAAAATTTTAGTCTAACAGGTTTGTACTCTCTCAGAGAACCAAAAGACAGAGGTACCCTTAAAGCTTTCACTAGAAAAAAGTTAATTTTTATCGGAATTATCGAAGTAAAGATAAATGCATGGGAGGATAAAACGAGACGTGCTCTTTCATAAACGACATGATTTTTTTATTTGACACTTTGTTTTTGTGAAAGTTTTTGATCATTTGTATCATCACTAGAGATGTACGAGACCAAGGGTTTTTTTTTGGTTTCGGTGTAGAGAAAACTATTCTAAAATTTATTCGTATTACATCGAAAATAATTCTTCAATAATCGTGTGTTTTTTTCTTGATTTATTTAGTTGACGATTAACACTTTTTTTGGATCATCTCGTTCTTGAATTATGTTCCGAGGTTTATAAGATATTTTACTGTAAACTTAAGTTTTAGTCCCGTATATTTCCAATCATCACCTTCTTGAAAGATATTCTGTTTTCAAAAAAAAAAAAAACAAAGCAGAAAATCTATTTTCATCTTTTCTCTGTTTATGCTTTTTTTGGTCGCGTAATCCAACAAGCTCTGCAAGCTTTCTTTTTACATATTTTATTTTTATTTTGTTTGAAAGAACGTGTCAAAATGCGGAGCATGACACAGTCGCGTGTTTGAATTAAACTTTGTGAATATTATATTTAAGACATTGGACTTTTTTCCCCTTATAAAGTAAGAATTTAAGAAAAAAAAAGAACTCTCAAACAGAAAAAAAATTAAGTATATAGAATGAAGGCTTACAGAAAAACTTGGGATTATCAAATGAGTTATTTTTTATCCTTGTTTGTTGAATATCTCCTGAAAACGTCATGTTGTGAAATTGAAAATTTCATGTGATTTAAATTTATCTGATCCAAGATCGATTTTTGATGTGCTAATAATACAGATTTCTACGGAATAATATTTATTTGCTGCTAGTCCTGGACCTGTAAACACCATTTCGATATCAAATGATTGTACATAAATGCAAAATTATTGAAGAAGATTTTTTTTTGTTTTATTTTAAATTTATCAAAAACAAATTTTGTACAAACTTTCTTTATTTTATTTTTAATAATCTATGTCAATTATTGTATAATTAAATGTTCTTGTTTCCATTGTTCAATTAATATTAATGTTTGTTTTCGTTCTTTTGTTACACAAATAATTGTTATTAAAATACATATTATTGTTACTGAACTAAGTATTACATTTCCATAAATAACAATTTTATTAATTGATAAATGAACTAATATAAGAATTAATCGAGCAAGAAATTCTGAAAGTAATCCTATAGACCATGTACTTGTTATTATATAACATGAAATACGAAATGATGAACAATTATTATATATCCATTCATATACTTGAGCTATTTCTTTATTTGATGATTTATGTATAAGAACTTCATTTTCATGTTCAGAATATTGTTCATGAATTGTTTCTTGATTATTAGAAAATATATTTTCCGGTAATCCAATTTGTTCTCGATTTGTTGGAATTAAATCTTGATAAAAATAATAAGCAAGTGGACGTAAACGACAATAATGATGACAACAATGAAATGGAATTAATGTTATAGCAAATATAATTGAAACAATACCAGTAACAAGTGATTTTTCTAATAGAAGTACAATTGGATTATGTGTTATAATAGCAACAACACCTGAAATAATAAAACCAATAAATACAAGAAAACCAAGTGCATCAAATGTTCGAGATGAAATAGCTTTAAAAATAACCATTAAAAATGGTGGAGTACCAGCAGCTAATAATGCATAAACAGGTTTAATATATTTTTGAAAAACAAAATAAATAATAAGTGGAAGAATAACATCAACAAGAATTGTTGTGAATACACGTGGAATATGACGTTTAAATGTATGCCAAATAGAAAATTGAATATTTGTATTTGCTTGTGACTGTACAAGAGAAGAAGAAGAAGAAGATGATGATGACTGAATAGAAGTCATTCGTATGAGTTTTCTAAATACCTAAAACAAGCATGTAGATATTTATAATTAATAGAAGATCAATATGAAAACTAAAATAAACTAACAAGAAAATGTTTCTAAATGTCAAATCACTTTTCGGAGTTCGAGACTATATGATATTCTTAATTCTGTAATATTATCTTGTAATACAACAAAAAATAAAAATCACATCATGATAAATAAGTTAACAATCTGTAACTATTAAATCTTAATGAATGAAAAAAAAAACCACAATCGTGTATACACACCTAAACAGTTTCGTTATTATGAATACTAAAATATGTCTTCGTCATTGTCTAATTGCATTTTTGTTCATCATCTTTAGACAATCGCCTTTTTTATTTTTTCGTTTATGATAAATCCTTTGATAATAAACATTTACTTGTAATAAATGATTCACAATATCATTTTAAATAGGCTAAATTTTTATTTAAATCTATTTTTCCAGTAACTATTATATCTGAGTAGACATGCATGAGACTAGGAACATATCAGATTCAGAAAGAAACTAAAAGAACTCGGTCTCATATATGTCTAGTCGGAACTGTGTGCATCATATAGATTCTAATGAGTTATTGATTTAAAAATGAACTAATAATAGTAGAACATTCTTAGGAATATATTGAATTTCATATTTACAATAGAATATGCGAAATAATATCGTCATAACATTCTATTTCGTTATCAAAAGAAAAACAACAACAAATCTAATATTAAAATATTTACTTTTAACAACGAATATTGATATTGTATATAATCATTTGTTCTATGTAATTTTTAACATAACCATTTTTTATACTTATTTTAATACAACTATTGAAGCATATATTTATACGCAAATATGTATATTACATTTTTTGCGTTTTGTTTCTCATCTACCTGATTATTCAACTGATGTTATACAGCATGAATCATATATATATATTGGACTATATATAACATAAAGCACACATTTTTTATGATAAGAATCATTGTCGATGGTTGATGTGATGTTATATGTCATGATGAAAA